CTATCACAGGTAGAGACACCTTCCACTAGACCTGGTTGGTCAAAGCCCCATCCCAGTCTGGCCTTGAACTGTGCCAGGGATGGGGCAGCTACAACTTCTCTGGGCAACCTGTTCCAGTGCCTCAACACCCTCATAGTAAAGAACTTAGAATCATGGAAACAACTAGGTTGAAAAAGACCTTTAAGATCATCAAGTCCAACCATTACCTCAGGATTGCCAAGACCACCAATAAACCACATCACTGAGGGCCTCATCTACATGATTTCTAAACACTTCCAGGGATGGTGATTCCACCACTTCCCTGGGAAGCCTGTTCCAATGCCTGATTGCCATCTCTGTGAAGAAATCTTTCCTAATATCCAATCTAAACCTCCCCTGGCACAGCTTGAGGCTGCTACCTCTTGTCCTATCACTTGTTACTTGGGAGAAGAGACCGATCCTCACCTCACTACAACCTCCTTTCAGGCAGTTGTAGAGAACGATAAGGATCCCCCTGAGCCCTCTCTTCTCCAGACTTCTCCAGACTTCTCCCAGTGCCCTCAGCCATTCCTCATCACTTATTTTCCAGATCCTTCACCAGCTTTGTTGCCCTTTTCTGGGCAGGACTCCAGGTGCAGTCTCATGAGAGCAGAGTAGAGGGGAAGAATCACCTCCCTCTACCTGCTGGTCACACTTCTTTTGATGCAGTCCAGCATACAGTTGGTTTCTGGGCTGCGAGCAGACACTGTCAGCTCCTGTTCAGCTTCTCACTGATCAACAGCACAAGTTTTTCTCCTCAGGGCTGCTCTGAACCATTCTCCACCTAACCTGTATTTGTGCTTGGGATTGCCCCAGCCATATATGAAATAGAAAAATAATCCGATGCGTGACAGCGCTGCAGGCAAGCCAACACCTGTCAGATCTGAAAAGTCACATTAAAAACCTGACAAATCAGCATAGGAAAAATGTCTTTAAAATACCCTAAAATTAAACTAGAAGGAGATAAAGGTCTATTTAAATTAGTTGCACATCTCTGCACATAATCTGGAAGTAAGGAGGCAGAAAACAAAAAACTGGAAGACATTTAAAGTAGAAATAACAGTGATGCTAATAATTAGTGAACTAGTCAGATGAAGGCTATCAAATAAATTAGCATGTCTACATATTGCAACTTCAACAGAAAAAAAAAAGTATGTGAAATCAACACTAATTAAGTTTCCATTTGATGGACTGTATTTTTAAAGGCAAGGGAAGCCTGTAAGATAATAAGAAACAGGCTGCACACTAAATCTTCAAATTGAGAAATTACTTTCCCTAACAGAACATTTCTCTGATACTTACTAGACACATGCATTTTACAGGTAGTCCAATCTATCCTCATCTCCAAATTACAGGTTTCAAACAACATAGATAACTAACAAAAGAGCTTAGAATTTAGTACTGAATTCAGACATGACATATGGATAAACAGGAATCCATGAAAGCACCACTGCTGGTTTCTACAAAAACATTAGACTGACTGTACAAGAACTAAAACATTTTAGTGTCTTTTAAGGTAGCCAAGGTCTCCACATCAACAAATGTAAAGAAAATAGCATTTAACTTAGTCTTTGTGTTAAATCAGAGTAGCATACAAAATTTAATGTATTTGAAGTCTCTCAGAAAAGAATACCTCACAAATGAACAAGTACCTGGTAAGAAAGTAATCATGTCTTGAAGTTCAAGGCAACCAGGATCAGACTATGCTATCCTCTGGGAACTGGTGAAAGGAAAGGTGGTTAGTTATGCCAGTTCATCTTAAAATCATAATGGTCTTGACATCTGAGGCACACTGGAAAGTTTACTAGTTTCAATCTGCATGTTTGCAGTTCCTGGAGATATAAGTTGAGGCAGAAGGAATGCAACTAAAAAAAAAATTTAAGATGCAGGTGTTTTTGAGACATTCCTATTATTTACACAGTCTCAGAAAGTCAGAAGGGAATACATGCTCTAGTCTAACTGCAGGACTTAGTTTCAAATGAAAATGCTCACTGAAAAATCCAGAGTAAAAGAGAAACATCGGAAGTCATTATATATTACATTAACTGCTAGAGTATTGACTGAAGACACAGTGGCACTAGCAATATAAACTACTCTAAATACAAGGAAAAATAAGCTTCTCAAACAATAAAGAGAGAAGATATCAACCTGTTTAATTTGAAAATAGTTTCTTTCAGTTAACAGAACAGAAAGACATGGCTTGATCAAGTAGTTTTCAAGAAAATGAGTTCCACTTATGATAATATCCAAAACAAAAATATTCCTGACAGATAATTCATACCTTGGACCAGTCTACTAGAAAGGAGGAGGATGAAAGAAAGTTCCTATCTGTTACTTTTGACGATGGCACATTCTGGAACACTACAAAAATTAGTTCTATGTATATCTTAATGCACCCTAAAGTAAGTCAATCTAAAAAGACTTAATAATCTGAAAATGAATAACTGAGATGAGGTTCTTAAAGTATTCTTTATTAATATCATTAGAAGTTGCAGAAACAACTTTCTTGTAATATAAAGGCACAGGGAGACAGTTTTGCTAAAATATTCCAATCAAACAGTAACTTACAGTACAAAAGGACAATTGTAATGCACATACAAACCCCAAACATCTCATTCAAAAATATTTCACTGTGTTCATCAATAATGGGCAATGACTAAAAATATAAACTGTTATTGTACAATAAATATCTGACAGGTGCAAACAGAACAAGATTTATTGCTCTCCACAATGTTTTCCCTGTAGTGTTTTTTGTTTGTTTTTTAAAGTTCCAAATTCCTTTTATAATTGATTTTAGTAGCTTATTTCTGAGGCAACAAAACCCCAGACCAAATCTGACAGGACATTCTGACAGCTACAGAACTGCATCGAATACTATCCAGAACTGGCAGTGCTTTTCTTTTACAACTTTAACAATCATACTCCATTCGCTCATTGGGAAATCTGGTAGATGCTTATAAATCAACTTTAGTGATAAGTCAAGGCTTTTATGGTAGAGTAGGATTACCTAGTCTTAGGGTTAGTGTATTTTCTTAAAATAAGTGGATTTCATTATGAAAAATAACATGAACCTTCTCTGACAGCTTGTGCCAGAAGAAGCATGCAAAACCATATTCAAGTGAGGCGAGGGGAGAAATGAAAATTAAAAGCTGCATTAGGCATTCTAAATTCAAAAAACGAAACAAGGGATTGGGAGCAAATTAAGACTACATAGGCAAAGATTACTTAAAGTAAGAATTTTGAATTTCAAAATACCCTTAAGATAGTCAACTAAGAAATCAAAATGCACTCTGTATCTTTATATGGCCCTGCTTTCTGAGCTTTGAGGAAGAAGGGACAGACAGTGAGTTTTCCATTTTCCTCACCTTGCACTTTGCAGTAATCAGGTAAAGCAACAGTTTCCATTAGTCTTTTGATGCACTGTGAGAGGCATGCTAACTTTGCTCTTGAAAGTACCACATACTACCTTGCTCAGATTCTTTTTAGATTGTACAACATATTATTTTATACACGCATTTAAGATATACTACTTTCCTTCATTACTGTTACAAGAAGTAATATGCATACATTTCCTAAGAGTATCTTTTTATGAATAAGACTTCAGGAAAATGAAGCATTATAGCAGTTGTTTAAAAAAAGAAAAAGAAAAAAAAAGAAGCAAGCTTTGAAGTGAGTTCTTGTAGCAGTAACTGAGGTTTTATCAAAACTGTAATTTATGAGAACAACTCCATATTTACACAAACCTCAACAAGTCAATTTTAACTGCACTGGGAACAGTCAAACCGAGTTCAAGAAAAGGTGTCTGGAGTGAATACACCTTAATCAATTTAGCCGGTAAACCAAAAGATGAATATTCAGTAAACTCCATTACACTTGAATTCAAAATAATTGGGAATGATGTAAAAACAGCTTCTAACTTTCTAGACACTATTATTCAAATGAAGGTTTTCTTCTAGCATAAGCACATCGTTTCAGAAGTTCTCCGAAGAATAACCAAGGATGACCGAAATTTGAATCTTCAGAATTATTAGCTTCACTACAGTATAGCATTTCTTCTTTACTATCTGCTTAGAAACTAATAAACAAAACCATTTTCTTTGGTTTATGCATAACTACACTGGCCTAGTTAATTCTTATTTTTAAATTAATACAGACCTTTTTATTGTAGGCTTTCTCCAATTCTCAAATTATCTCTGTTAAAAATAAGAGTTTGCTCATACCATGATTTCCTGCTAAACAGTCATGTGTGTATATTGGCATGAAGGGTAAACGTTTTGTACAATAATTACATTAAGTGATATTTCCAATGGCTGGACTACAAAAGACATCAAATGAATGTTAGTTCAAATAACATTAGAGTTTATGTCGATCTTTGAATATAAAAAAAAAATATACAATATCTAAGCATAGTAAAATACAGTGTAAAACCCCCTAAAATTAGACAGTAAACATAGGAATCCTGCACTCACAGTAGGAATGTACTGCACAGCATTAAAATGAAAGCCTGTTAAATTCAAAAGAATGCAGACAGCTAGATTTACCTGGATGTAAATGCCACTTCAAGGTGTTTAAAAAAACACAAAAATGAGACAATGATGTCAGGAAAAAGGCCTTTAAAACAGGCCATCAGTCTAACTTGACTTTCCAAGTAAGAACATCAGCTTCACAAAACTGTGACACTAATGCAGTTTTATGTAAAGTACCCTTTGACACACAAGCTGTCAATTAAGCTATCACAGTCTTTAATGACCTACTCCCTTTTACATAGTTAGGGAGGGGAGTCAATAGTAGCTCAAGTTTTAATTCAGTAAGTACCTTGTCTGTTTGCAAAGGAACATTACAACACCATAAATTTATTATTTTATGGTATTTATAAAACCAATAAACTAGGGGTTTTTTATGTTCTCTTTTCAATACCTAAGTTCAAAACTTCTTTTTCTATGTGTCTTTGCAATAGTGTTTTAGCCAAGGCTGCAAAAAATTTTCACTGTGGACTACCTCACATTGTTACTCAATTGTGCAAGGTATTCTCGCAGTTCTTTTGCAGCTTGGAATCTACCATATCGCTTCTTTGGGTTGGCACACTCATCCAGCAAGGCCTCAAGTCGGCCATCTTTGGCAATTTCAGCTGGTGGGTCATGAAGTAGTCCTCCAGAAGTGCCACGCCATGTGGCATGTCTTGATAAAAGGTTCTGACAAATAGCATAATAATTGTGGTCCACAGTGACACGAGCACAAAGAATCTCTTTTGAGAAGGACAGACAAGCTTCTTTATCACAGTCATCAAATTTGCTTTCATACCATACATCCCAGTTTTCAGGTTTATCTGTGAAATATAAGGAGACAGTAAAAATTAAACACTGAGAGAGCAAAGAGCATATGTGTGTTTGAATACAATCAGAAACTCAATACACAGCAAACTGGTTGTATTTAAACTATAAATCAACTTTGTTTAGATGAACTCTTAAATGTTCTAGTCTAAGATTGCACCTGACAGTTTGATATGCTCTTCTGCTGAAACAGTCCTGGAAATACAAATATAAGGGAAAGAAAAAGACAGTAAAAACAAATAGCAAAGACAGGGAAGCAGAAAAAACATCACACAAAACACGTGAAATCTACATTCACACACATACCCAGAGGAAAAAAAATGTAGCACGAACAAGTACAAGAGAATGATCCACAGCTGAAGTCAAGAGAAAAAACAAACAAGCAACATGATTTATTTTAGGAACATAGATCTGGTTTCTCCAGTTACCCTGGGAACTAACACTCACAAGTGGTCTACCAAAGAACAAAAACAGCCATTGCAAAGTAATTGCCATAAACTTCTAAAACATGATCTTCCAACCTCTTACTTTAGACATGGTAGTAACTAAGTGCATATAAAACAGCAGATGCATTAAACATAATCTTTGAAGAAAAAAACAAAATCAACAAAACAAATGGCATTTATGCACATATTAAACCCTAATTTTTATATAAAAATTTATCAAAATTTCAAGGTGTAGCTAGTGCTGTTATCATGAAGAATTCTTTAACTTAAATGCTGATCTGCAGAAAATATCTTCAGCAATAAAAATATAATATGGTTACTAAGTGTGAGATTTGAGTTCTTAGTAGTTTTTGTTAGAAAATTTTAATTCTAAATTTCTAGATTACTGCCAGCTTTGAGAAGAGGTCCTTATCGTGGAGTCACATCATTTTGTGGATCTCTTTTAGCATTGTGATGTTCAAATCAAAATTTGTTTGTTAGTCTCTGAGCTGACTATTAGTCTACTTATTTACGGTGCGCTGCAAGCCAGTCCAGAAAAAAAAGCCTACTGAAGAATGGCTGCTAAAACTATAAAAACAGGATGTAAAATTTGTACAATGAACAGCAAACTCAAAATGTAAAAAAAGCCAGTGACATGGAGAATGGGAAAAAAGGACTTCAGCAAACTCAAATACGATATCCACACAGAATTTCTCTACAGTGCAGTTGGATAAATGCACCCATTCAAATATCTAAAGAGGCATATTAATCACTCTAGATGGAGATTGTTTAATGAAACTTTCCAGAATATTAATTAAATCAGTACTAAATGTCAACTTTATACAAAGACTGAGAACTTTCTTGTATCCTCCTTTGCTTTCCGTGTTCTTGATTGTTAGATTACAAATCATGCAGCAAAATCCTAGTTAGAGCCTAATTAGTCTGAGAACTACAGACAACAGATTAAGCACAACACCTTTAGCATTTAGCTTCTGCAAGATGAGTATACATCAACTTTTTCAGAGTTCATTTGATCATCTTTATGACTGAGCAATTCAGACATGCTCCAGAAGTCAAACTCATCAGTAACATTATTTTAGGAGAGTAGGAAAAGGAAGAAAAAAAAAGTTTATTTGTGTGGCCCATTAAGTGCTAAAGTAAATGTACTGGATATTCAATACATGAAAAGGTTTTCTTGGTAAGACCAGGTAATTTTAATCCAAGCTCCTTGAGAGCGTCTATTAAATCTAATTTCAAAAAACAAAAACAAAAACCAAAAGAAAAAAACAACAAAAAAAAAACTCAACAAAAAAAAATCCAAACAAAACCAAACCAACAAACAAAAAACCGTATAACATACTTCCTCATAGAGAAGTGTATGGATAGAAAAAAGTTAATTCAGCAGCACAGCATATGAAATCTATTGCAAAGCTTAAAAAAAAAAAAAAAAAGATCCAATCATCCAAAGCAAACTGGAAACACTTGGCCTATTGCTATGATTTCTGCAGAACATAGGGTTTCATGTCCAATGTCTCTAGCCCTTAGGTCTGCAAAGGTTTCCTTATAAAGGAATACGAACCTATGTAATGCCACTTTGTCAAACATCTCTCCTGCTGCCACCACTTTGAGTTTTACAGCTGACAGAAAGACGAATGAATTTTCACTACTCCCACCTGGAAACCACTAAAATTACTCATTCCTTCAGTTCCATTATTACAGAGCACCAATCTGAACAACTGAACCAGAGGCAGGCTATGTAACTAAGGCAAAGCGAGCAGTAAGACTGTCTTGCCATTCACAGAAAATAGAATGCTAAGACTTCTGTCCTTACAGACATCTGGAAAAGACAAAAGGAACCTCTCTCTTTCAGCAAATGTAGACAAGACAGTCAGCCAGCCCATGTGTCTATCTGTTCATCCATCTGTACAAACCCATCCAATGTCCAAACTCTCTCCTCCGACTCCCACCTCTCCACTTAAAACTGCATTAGAGAGGTTAAAAGTGTATGGAAATCAAGTTCAGGTAAACTCAACACTTAGTAAAATTGACAAATTGGTCAAGTTAATTAGTGGTCTTATTGCAGAAGAAAGCTAATTAGTTTGTTAATGAGTAGTCTAGTTGTAAAACCAAACAAACTGGTATTTAGAAATTACATACACTTTAAATATTGTGCTTACAGAGAAAGAAGAAAGAAGAGACAGGGGGAGAGGGGAAGGGAGAAAAAGACGACACTTACTCTGTCTGATTAACCTTTTGTCTGCTACCAGAACGTTTTCTGCATCTACAATGATAACCTTCCCATCTCTTGGTCCAACTGCAAAGTTGTCAAAGCTGACATCAAGGAGGTAGAGTGCAAATTCAAAGTCATTATTTGTTAGCTGCTCAGCTATTTCCATTAATTGCCAGGCCAGATCCACTCGTTTCTCCCATGGTGCATTAAAGTAACTCCACAGTTCTTCTCCAACGTAATTGACAGCCACCATTCTTCCGCATGCTCCTAAGTACTTTGCAAACGGCCAACCCTCATCAGATGGAAAACTCTGTATATAAAAAGATTTTTTTAAATTTTCATTAATACAAACCAGCTTAGATTTATAAGGCTGATCAATAATATTTAGAAAAGACACCTGTAAATATCCATCAACACTACATCTCCATATATTTCTAAATTTTGAAGGGAAAGGAAAAACAACACAAAAATATGTTTATGTGTGCAAAAGGCCCTTCAGGACTATGAAAGGGTAAGAGTTGGAGGACCTGAAATAATATACAACACACATATAGCTTTCCATATACTACATACTCTTTTCTTTTGTCCACATACACATGCACATGCACAATTCCATCAACTATCTTTGTCTATTGGTGTTTTATACACATCTGTTGTACTAATGTAAGTATACTTTCCACTAATATAATTATGCATCTGATATCTTTAATTAAAACCAATTCTTTTAACAACCTAAAGGAAAAAGCTTTAAAAAGTGACACCTCTTCTCACCAGCATCCCCCCTTCCCATTTTTCTCAGTTGACTGGATCTTCTTTCTGACTACACACCTTATGATGTTAGGACATGCTGTTCATTGTTACCTAGCTATTCTCATCAAGAATATGAGCTTTCTCATTTGCAGAATGAAAAATGCCCACTTTCACTTTTAAGTGGCTTTTGTTGAACAGGCATGACTTAATGGTCATTAAAACACTTTTTGTTTGACATAATGAAAGCATTTAATAAAATGTTATGGAGGCCTTAATTGATCCCATATTGAAAATGAAGGCTGAGTACCAGGTTAACTTGTACCTAGCTTCCAGCAGTCCTTGCTTAGACCACTTAAGAATATTGCAATTTGGTCATCTACAGTTTTGAAATTATTTAATATTTTAAATATAATTTTGAGAGAGTAAAAATACCCATTTGTTTATGTGTTAATACTATCTGATAATTGGATCCTACTGGAAACCAAGCATCCATTCCATGCTATTCTGGCTCAAGATGTCCTGGAATTTTCAAGAACTCTTCAAAGTTTCTACATAGCAAATCTTGTCTATACAGTACATGTGAAGAAATTAAATTCATAATTGATATACATTGTTGACATAGTTAGCCATCTTTGTGGCAAACACCATTAAGCCAGCCTCTAACGTGCTAAGTGTAGAAGATAATTTTAGGGGAAATAACCATGTTTATCCTTGCAAAGAAGAACCTTTCAACCTTTCTCAGTTGGTCAAAAGGACATCAGACCCATAAAAATAATAGAAGAGGTTCAAAGTTTTTGGGGTGTCTACACGTCTGGACTTCTACTCTTTCTATTTTGATCATGTGATCTACCCACATAGATTGATCGTGAAAAATACAGAGGATGACACAAAACTAACTTGATTGATAGTTTTGAGACCAGTACAATGCTTTCAAGCTGTGATACCATGTAACTGAGGAGAACTAAATCTCTCACTAACCAAATCTACAATGCAATGAAGATATTTTCTAGTCTTCAGTATTTTTATCTATAGGCTTCAGGGAAATCTATGAAGGCAGTAAGTATAGGCAAATATGCACCAGTTCAGGACAAGGCAAGTGATACATTCCACAGTTAAGAAGTTGGCAGGGTTTTTTTCGCTTGTTTTGTGGGTAGCAAAATAACCTTCCAACGAACAAAGTGTGTGCTAATTCAATGTTCCTTACTTATTCTAGAAACAGACCAATATAGAGAAAACTCATGTCTGTGGCATCAATAAACAACAGCAAAATGAGATTTCATGCACATTTATCATTACTGTATTCAGTTCTGGATCAAAACAAACCAATACGCAAGTGGCTGTTGTTCATCAAATGAGTTATCTACAAAGGAACATGCTATTTCACTCAAAGCAAGCATGAGTTGGTGCTGAGGTATAACCTCCTGAGAACTCTGGGCATGCAAAAATTTTTCATTCCAGTGAGTAGGATCAAGGGGCATAGGGGAAAATTCAAAATACTGCCTACCAGTATCTATCAGGAAAAAGCCATACACCTTAGTACTGGGGAAGTTGAAATGTGAGTACCTATCTGTCCTGTACCCATGCAAGTCTCCTTTATCCATACCGTATAAACCCAAATTTGTATCTTAAATTGGAGAATATTTACCTGGTTACTTTTTCTTATAAATACAGGTTTAACCAATTCCACCAACGGTGCATAATATTTTTGTATTGCTGCATGTTATCAGCATTCAATCCAATATAGTCAATTCAATTGCTACAGCAATGATGCCTAAGTATTTTTTTTAAAGAATGACCCTGGACCACCACACACCTTTTTTTTCAACCCTCTCCTTTCCTATACTCCAGTCCTGCTCTGCTTATGCCTTTGGTTCCCTTCCCAAATACAAGTTCAACCACAAACAGTTGAACCTGGCAAATGCCATGCTACAATTGGAAGTGAAGGTGTCCATCCCTCTCAACCCACCCAGCACACTCATTTCAATCCCCTCCTTCATGTGATTAGGAATGCAATGCAGCTGGTACTTGCTGGGCCAGCGTCCAGTTCGATCAGTGGCCTGATCCAGCTTATCACATCATGAGGTCATGCTAGCACTGACAAAAGGAAAGGACAAGGTCTGAAAAGCCAGGTGCAGAAGAGAGGACCCTTCCTTTCCAGCAGCTTTCAGGGATTTATGTAATGGATTAAACTGATTTTGAAAGTACAGCATTAGTCACAATGGTACACTGATCATCAAAACACATTATTATCTTCCTGCATTCAGTACACTGAATTTCACTGCACACAAGAAATTCTAGGAGTCGTTTAGTTTATTAAGAAGTGAACATCCTCAAAATTACTAGTAAAATATCTGCATGCCCTACTGTAAGACAGGTATTTATAACTCTGTGGCAATAAAAAGATCTTTTGACAACAGGAGTGCAGGGAATCCTGCCAACATCTGCACGTGTACAAACATCTCTGTTCTGGCTCCCTTCCAACTGGCATGTAACAACCACATCTACACTTCATTACCCAAGTCAGTAGCCAAAGAAGGGGATAAAAATATGTACAAGTTCCTCATTGAGCAGTTTTATGCTCACTCAGTGAATTCGACAAGAATATTAATTGATCTGTTGTCTTTGCAAGCAGAGATTTGTGTCTTTCTGTACTATTCTATTTCCAAAACATCTTTCTAGATGAAATTACAGCTAACTTAATATGAGGATTTTTAATTTTTCTTCATGTACCAGACTTTTGAAAGCAAGTAAGATATGATACAAATTTGTATGGCCATTGAACTTGTTTTCCATGAACAAGTTGCAATTATAAAAAAGCTTAGTAGATAGCTGTGAAAAATCTCAGATTTCTTTGTAGTAATGCATAACATTTTAGTTTTTATTTTAATTCTCAAATTACTATTAGTATATTTAATGAGACAATTCTGTACTCGAGTATGCTATTTCAAGACCAGAACCAGCTATCTGACAAAAGAATCTGCAATCCTGATACACCCACTCACATTTTATCTGTGAATATACACACAAATGCCATGGAAACCACAGATAATCAGGCCGTTAATTGTGTTTTAAAATATATTAATGCATATGAAAAACTAAAAGCAGGTATCTTAGTAAGCTTTTTCTCATTACAGTTGTTATCATAGAATGGTTTGGGTTGGAAGGGACCTTAAAGATGATCTCCTTCCTCCTCTCTGCCATCGGCAGGGACACCTTCCACTAGATCAAATTGATCAAAGCTTTACCCACCATGGCCTTGGCTACCTTTCTCTATTCACAGAGAAATAAGCATAAGTTTCTAACAGAAAGAATGAAAACAGTTATTATAACAAAATCCTCCACTACCTCCACTCCCAGTGACACATACATCAAAAAACTCTTCCAGTTGCCCTAATTAGTATAGCTACAAGGTATCTACACAAGGCTTAAAAATCTAAGCAAACCCTGTCAAAGGGACAAAGAACAGTTTGTTCCTGAAAGCATAATACTACATTTGTCTTAAAAAACAAAACAAAATTATAAAACCACTGTAGTTTCAAAATAAATATTGAGAATTAGTAGGATGAATTTTTCATTTCACAGAAGCACTATCAGTGCATTTGCTGTCCTCACTTCCATCTGTTCAAACATGAGAAGATATACAAATCTCCCATTGGTTTCAAATCTTTAGAGTTGTGAATTAGGTCACACAGTGAAACCTCACCAGCTTGAAGCTGGTAAGACCTATTGTAGTCTGCAATAACACAAATCCCCTCTGAATTAAACACTTAAAATAATACTAGTTTATCATAATCAAGCGTATAATTCATCCTAATAATCAAGTCCAAAAAAAGCCAAACCAGTTTGCAACTGACATCTTTAAGCTACTGTTCCAACGTAGAATTAAAAACAATGATGTGCTCCGCATTTTCAAAACTACTCTAGGTGACGCTATATGTCACTACCAATTTTTGTATAAAGTGAGTTCCATCTAAAGAAAACAAAACAACAAAGAGCTACACCTTAAATATCATGAAATTAAAAGACATACGTAAAACAGAGTGGGGACTTCTCTTCCTATTCCTTATGAATGTGACTACCTCTACAGCAAAATTAAACTCTTTTTGATGCCTTCTTCACTTAAATCATCCTACTAAACTGTGTTTGCCCAGGCACAAACTGGCATGGCAAGTAGAATTTAAATAATATGCTCTTCCTCAAATGGAAAAAAATTAGTTCTCTCTCACAGAGTACTGTTGATTCTGCAGCGTAAACAGAACTAACACTTGCATTAGTCACTGAGGCAAGTAACTAAAGCTCTGGAACCACAAAAAGCTGGAAGTGGATTTTACAAGGCGAGTTTTCAGCTCAAAGAAGGTTAAAGAGCACAGTCGAAATGCAGACACCTTCTTATGTCAGGAATTTACCTGTATTCTAGAAGATACGTATTCAAACGTATTTGTGAATGCTAGTGAGAATAATGAAAACAATTTCATTCTCAACTATATGCCAAATCATTTGACATCCCACAGAAGTTAAGCATATACATATCTACAGCCTACACACCCAGTGGATTTCATT